CAAAGAGACTCATCCCACACGGCAGCACCGTCCCTCGCAGCCCCGGGCTGGCACCGGACACATGGGGACACCCGCTGCGTCCCGCTGCACCGCGGTTCCCGGAGGGATGCAGCCCCTGCGCTTGGAGCGGAGACTCCCCAGGGACCCCAGCTGCCCCGGGGCCGCGGGGCCCGGCTCACTGGAGGTGGCCGTGCTGGGAGAGGAGGCCCCCAGCGCAGCGGGCCCTGCTCGTTGTTACTGGTTTTCTGAGCTTTCTTGTCACCACATGTTTCACTTTCAAAAATAGATAATTCTCCCCCGCCTCGTATGCGCCAGGAGGTAACATCTTCAGGAAATAACTCTCCTTCCTTTGACAGAGAAAAAACAAGCAGCCGAACCGTGGGCTTTAATCCCTCTTCTCTGCATCTTAGCTCTCCCAAGGAGAGGACAAGGCTCCTGAGGCTTTAATTGCAGCAAGGGAGATTTAGGGGGCACATAAGAGAAACTCTCCAACCATGCAAGCAGTTCAACACCAGAACGGATCGCGTGGGGACCTAGCAGCAGCCCCGTCACCAGGAGTGCTTGGGAAGCAGAGGTTTGCGGACTGCCGATGCCCTCATGGCGCAAGGGACACTCGGTGACATCCTGAAGCCTCTCCCAGGCCTGGCTGCTGCGTCTCCAGGGCCGGTGCTATGGATGCTGTGTCCTCTCCTGCTGCAAGGAGGAACGCTCTCCCCTGGACATCTGCCACCGGCCTCCTCTTTGCTAAGCCTCAGTGCCAGCAGTTGTTCCTGGAGAAAGAAGATGGCTCCAACACCCATCACTGCCGGCAAACGCTGTCAGGGGACATCGGGGGCGCCTGGAGACGTTCTGGTGGATGAGTCTGGCGGGAGCAATGGGAAGCACCCGCTCGTTGCCTCTTACACCTCCCTTCTAGGGTTCCCTTGCTCTGCACATCAAACCTGAAACCCCAGGTGACATTTGGACCATTAAGGCAAAGAAGCGTCGTCCAAAGCCAACCACTGCGTGCACTTGTTGGGCCAATGTGCCGGGGCAGGGCCAGGAGTGCAAAACCCTGCTGAGATGCTCTCCAGGCACAAAAGACAGGCAGAAGTTTGGGGTCTTTGTCCATCTGGGAACTGGGGGCTCTCAGCTTTTCCTCACCTTAGTGTCTGCTAGTTCTGTGGTGAGTGCAAGGACGACCAGGATCCAATTGCATCCAGTGTGTTTGGGGCAGCGCAGTCTGTCTGGGGTTTGGTGAGAGCTTCATGCTCTGAACCCACCGCGAGGCTCACGGGGTTCAACCTTTGCCTTCCCTCTGACCCCCCTGCTCTTGACTAGGGTCACACGGGATGGGCAGCATCAGCCCCAGCAACATAATGTGCACTAGCATTGATTTCCAGCAAGGAGCTGCATTATGAGATTAAATGTCTCATTTTTATTGCATGGGGAGGCAGAGAGAAAGCTCCGAAAATAAAACAGAAGTGATGCGTTTCTGCTGCAAGGTGCTTGTGACCGGGAACAAGCGTCCCTTGTTAATCCAGTCATTTTAAGGTGAAGTTTGAGAAACTTGTTGCTTGCTGGAGGCTGCTAAACAAAGTCAGAGCTCACCCTCAGCTGCTTTCGGTTATTTTTAAGGAGCAAATAGACTTTGGTCTTTAGCAAAAGCATCCGCTCTTCTGGCCCTGATGCCATTTAATACCAAAATTATAGGCTCACCGTGCCACAGAGTATTACTGAAGCACTAGTTTATTACTAGTTTATTCCTAAAAAGGATTAGGTAGTGAGATATGAATAAGAACAGCAGTGGCAGCTGCTCAAAGGAGACTGTGGCTCCGAGCCCTGGGGGCCGGTGGCCCTGCACGGATGGAACTGACCTCCCTGCTCCGCTCGAGGCCAGGGGCTGCTCCCCTCGGGGCCCTGCCCTGACTCAGAATCGCTGCCTGGACGTTGACTCTTCCCTGTGATAATCTTCCTATAAAATATCTTCTGCCCTTCCGCTGGCCAGGGCTCCCCTGCTGCTGTCCTGCCGGCCATGGCGCGGGTCACGGCGGCTCCCCCGGGGGCTCCCAGAGGTTTGCTCCGGAGTCAGCTCCGGGCGGGCGCTGCCGATGCCCGGGATGCCGCTGGCCGCCCCCCCGGAGGGCCTCTGCCTCGTGCACCTCCGTGGCCACCAACCTTGCCTGGTCCATCCGTGCTGGCCCATCCGTGCTGGCCCTCCGCTCAGCGTGTCCCTGCCCCAGCATCTTGCACGTGCTGGCATGGCCCCACGCAGCCCTCTGCAAGGGACCCCTCAGCACCGTCCTCTGCGCTCTGCACCCGCAGCCCCTGCTGCTGGGGCTCCTGTGCGGAGTGCCCCGGCGCTGGGAGCTCACAGCAGGGCTCTGGACATTTTATGACCACAAACTCTATTTTCAGCCTAATAAGGTTTTTATAGTCTTGGAAAGCTGTCAGCTGAGCGTCAGCCAGACACCGAGTACCTGCCATAAACTGCCTGGATTGCAACCAAAGGTGCTGCTCTGCTTTAGCAAGTTTTCAATTGCATTCGCTTTTATTGGCTCGTCCGTTTGTTTTGAGGATTCTGACTTTCTTAAATAATAAAAAAGATACATTTAAAAAATAACATCCCTGCTTAATAACTTGTGAGGATATTTGCTGCGAGCAAATCGGGTTTGTCGCTAGCGAATCGGATGGAGCGTTTTCGGCTCGGACTGGGGACGGAAGGGCTGTCCCCTGCTCGGAGGGGCTCCTGCACGGGCAGCGCCGCCGCGCTATGAATGAGCGTCCCGCGGGGTGCCAGGAGGGTCAAGGGCTCTGGGAATGAACTGCAAGTACGAGCGGCTCTGCTGGCGCGCGCTGCACCAGCAGCTGCTCCCCTGGCTGGCGGGACAGCCGGGAAGGGCCCCGAGTGCCGAGGGTTTCCGCGGGGAGCTGTGACGGTCCCAGAGCGCTGCGTGGGACATGGGTAGCCCACGCACATCCTCCTGCCAGGAGCCTCTGGAGACTGCAGGCACCGGCTGCTTTGACCCACGTGTGATTGCAGCAGGATGCAGTTTTCTGTCCCCACTCGTGATGCTCCACAGACCTGTCCCTGCCTCCTGCCCGGGTGGCTCAGGTCCTAGGGCTGCAATTTCCCACCTTAGGAAGCTGCAAAATGCCCTGCGAAAATGTTCCCAGCTGCTCTGTGCCTGCTTGCTGCTGGGGAATAAATAAAATAAAAGGAGAATACTTTTTCTCTCTTGCATTGAAAGCACCGTGTTGGGGCCATCTTCTTTCCTCCACCTCAGAATTGCAAATTGTATTAAGTCTTACTTGTGTGCAGATATTTTCCAGCTGCTTCTCTCTAGACTTTTCTCTGAGAGGACAAATCCAGGGGTTGAGGCACATCCTCTCCGAATCGCCAAGGCAAAGAGGTTCCTGTTCTCGCTTGGCCCAGCTGTTTGTGCCACATCCTGGCCCTTCCTCTCAGGAGTGCTCAGTCGCTGGGCAGGGTCCCTGGGGCAGAGTGAACCGCAGCACAAAAGTCACAGCTGGCCCTAGCATCAGAGCTCTAGATCATGAAGCAGTTATAGGGAATCAAATTAACACTAGGCTTATGCAGAGGCTGGCAAACCACCTGAGCTAAATGAGAACACAAATCTGAGGCTGCTCTGGGGTCAGAAATGTTGAGCTAACTATTATGTCTCTAGTTTGAGTCTCTGGGGGTGGAAGCTGAGACACCCAACAGCAAAAGGAGATGATGCTCAGCTGGGTATCCACATCCACGAGGAGGCCCAGGGATAAACCCTGGCTGTTCTCAATTTCTGGCTCATGAACCACACCTGGTGGTTCCCTATAGATGAGGGGACTGAGCCCTGCTGAGGCTACTTGTGTTGCTTTTGGCCATCACTGGGGGTCCCTTAGCGCTGTGCTCAGCGAGAGCCCCTTGTTCTGCTGTCAGCACCAGTGTGGCCCTGGTTTGGACCGGCACCATGGAGGGAGCAGCTCCTGGAGCTGAGCACCCTGAACAGACTTGAGGGGTGATGAGGGACCGCAGGGTGTGGGGTAAGTGTCTATGGGCTCCTGAGTGTGTTTGGCCTAGGGATGCTGCGGTGCTGGAAGGGGTTGGTAAAAGGTGCCTGGAGGCTGCAGTGTCCTCTTCTTCCCAGGTGTCTCACGGCAGTGCAGTGCTGGAGAGCAATGGCAGCTGGATGGCATGGAGCTAATCCATGTCTTGTCCTTGGGTGTCCTCTGTGCAGTGCTGGAGCCAGAGGACAGGCTGAACCAGTGCATGACTG